TCCCAGGTTTGATTCCCGTCAAGGGCATGTACCTTGGCTGCGAGCACATCCCCAGTAGGGAGTGTGAGGCAGCTGATTGATGTTTCTCTCTCATTGATGTTTCTGTCTATCCCTCTCCCTTCCTCTCTGTAAAAAAATCAATAAAAAATATTTTTTAAATACATTGAATGATGAGTCAAAAATTAAGCACAGGGTCTTAGACAACCCTACAAACGAGGGGCCTGGAGACTCCAGCTGCGTTAGCATTAAGGTAGAAGCACCCCTCTTCCAGGCCCTGTCCACGAAAAAATCTGGACACTCCCGATCCTGACAGGGCTTCCCTCCCTGTTTGTGAAACGTGGCAGACGAGGGCTGTGGCGTCCTGGGAAAGGAATCTCGTTTCTCCCAGGAGACAAGAGGAATTACAACAGCAGCGAGGCCGCTTTGTGAGGATGCAGCAGGCTGTGTGCCAGGGCCGCGTCCACAGGGGCTGGAGACCCGGCTGGCGGAGACGTGGGCCGGAGCCGAGTGGGTGCGGGAGACGGGCGGCCTGGGAGCAGGAGCCATGGCTGCCTGCAAACCTGGGGCTCACGCCGCAGTCAGGCCTGTTGGAACCAGGCGTTCTCCCATCTTCTGGCTCCCCGCGTCCCCATAAACCTCCCTCCGAGGAGGAGGAGGAGGCGAGGCAGAGAAGACAACCGCGGCCGAGTGCAGGGGGAGGGCAGATCGCGGCCCCCGCCCAGGCTTCCCGATCTCCCGGCGCGGGGTGCCGGAGCGCGGGAGGCCTGGCGCAGGCTGCCCGCCGCGGCTCTGCTCAGGGCGGGGAGGCCCGGGCGCCAGGCTCCCCGCGGGGCTCCGGCCGCCGGCGGGGCAGAGGGAGAGGGCGGCCGTGGGGGCCGCGCCCGTGGCCTGCTTTCCCAGGGCTGGCCCAGGCTTTTTGACAAGCTGATTCCGTGGCGAGGATTGGCTGGCCCCGGCGTGACGCCGATTAACAACAAAGGTGGAGTTGGAAGAAATTAGATTAAAGGAGAGAGAGAGAGAAGAGAAAAAAAAAAAAAATTAAAGGGGGAGCTGGCAGGGGCCGGGAGGCAGAGGCCGGAGGGGAGACGTGCGAAGCCTGGGCTCCTGGCTCCGAAGGGAAGCGCCTCCGAACACTCGCCGGGATTCTGCTCTCCACCCCCCACCCTCCCCGGCCCAGCTACCGCAGCCCGGGCGCAAGGAATGGCCACCGCTTCTAGAGAAACCCCCCAACTCCCACCCTGACACCCCTCGCTGTGGCTCAGGGGGAGAACTTTTTGCTCCTCGGACGCCTCGGATCCTCAGCCCGGCGGAGGTGAGGCGTATGGAGGACGACGAGAGGCTCGACCGAAAACCCGGAAGGCTCCCGCGGGGCCCCGAGATCGGACGAGGCGGGGTGCTTGCTCCCCGGGTTTTTCCATGTGTTGCAAATCTAAGAGCTTCTTTCTTGCCTCCCCCCCCCCCCTTTTCTTTTTTTTTTTTTAATACCCCCCTCCCGTTGCTCTCCTCCTACCCCCCCCCCCCCCGCTTTGGCTTTAGGGTTGCAAAAGCAAAGAGCAATAAAAAAAAAAAAAAAAAAAAAGCCGCGCATACACTCAGACACACGCCAGTGGCGACAGGGGAGAGTTGGAAAGACGCAGGAGAGAGGCAGGAGGCAGGAGGCGGCCGGGAGGGAGCCATGGGAGCGGGAAGCTGGAAGGTTCCCTGGACGCAGATCCCCGTCCAGCCCCGCGCCGCCTCGGCGGCCCCGACCGACAGGGGAGAGAGGAGCCGGGCGAGCAGATGGAGGGCAGCTCGCTCCAGGCGGCGGGCTTGGCCGGAGCGCGGAGGAGCCGCCAGGCGCCCGGCTGATTGGAAGAGAAACGCAGAGCGATGGAGGCGGGGGTAGGAGGACGGTTCTCTGCGGGGACTGGCGGCGGCGTACACGCCCGGGTCGGGCGCTGCAGAGCTTGGCTGGCTTTCAACCCGCGCTCGCCGGCTCCAGCCCCGCGAGCCCCCACCCCCGGCCCTCCCGGCAGCCCCGCAGGTGAGTGCGAGCTGGGGGCCAGAGCCCCGAAAGTCCCCACACGCCCGCCCCGCCAAACAAAACAAAAAAAGAAAAAGAAAAAAAGCATTTTTATTTTTTTTAAATTTATTTTCGTGCAGCCCCCAGCGCGGTGGGAGGGAAAGGGTGAGGCTGAGCAGCCCGCCCGGAGGAGGCGGAGGGGCCAGGCGAGGCCTGGGTGGCCCGGGAGGCGGCGGCGCCGAGGCGGCTCTGACGGCCGAGCGCTCGGAGCGGCGCCGCGCTGCGCCGAGGCGGGCGGGCGGGCGGAGCGGGGCGGGCGGAGCGCGGCGCGTGGGGCTCGCCATTAGCCGTCGCTCCGCTTCGCCATCTCGGGCTTTGTCTGGCGACTCACCGCCCCGGCGTCGGCTGCGGCGGAGCTGCGGCTCGGCTCTCCGGCCCGCCGCGCCCCTCGGCGCCCCCGGCCCGCGCTCCCCTCCGCACGCCCGGTAAGTGAGCCCCGGCGCCGCGGGTTCCGGGGAGAGAGCTGCCGGGGAGGCGGCGGCGCCGGGCTCCATGCGCCCGGCCAGGCCCGGGGAGACATGCCGGGCTGGATTGAACCGGCTCCCCGAGAGGCTGCTCGGCCGGAGCCCGCCGCTCCCTCGCCCTTTCTGGGGTGTAAGAAGCAAAGGGTTTTTGTTTTTAAATTTACAGAAAAGGAATTTTGTAGGTTTGCTGTCCTTTTTCTTTTTTTTTTTTAATTTTACTTTCGTGTGTATTCCTTTCGGCAGCGAGGGAACCGCGAGGCGGGCGCCGAAGCCTGGCGCCGCGTACGACCAGCGTGCGCCCCGAGCCGGTGGCCACGCTCCGGGGATGAGGGTGGGAGCGGCCCGCCGGCTCCGGGTGGCGGGAGCGGGAGCGGGGAGCGGGCGTGGAAGCCCGAATCTGAGCCCAGAGGGCTTGGGGGAGAGCTCCGGAGCCGGGCTACGGGCGCCCCGAACCCTCCCAGGCCGCCGGGGGGCCCTCCGGGCGCCCTCGCAGCCCGCGCCTCGCGCCCTCCCTCCCCGCGGCCGAGCATGCCAGTTCCCCCGCGGGTCTGGCGAGGTCGCTCTCGGCGCCCGCCCGTCCCGGCTCCGGGGCTCCGCCGCCATCCGGGCGGCTGCGTGTCTCCCTGCCCCGGCCCCCCCCCCCCTCCCCGGCAGCAGCCGCCGCCGCCGCCGCCACCACCACCACACCGCCCCCCCTCCTCTCCTTCCTTCCCTCCGCCTCGGCCGCCCGGGTCCCCCCAGCTCCCGCCCCTCCTCCCCGCTGCCCCCCGCGGAGCCCGCCCGGGCAGGCTGTGGGAGGGAGCGGAGCCGGCGAGGCGGGCGGGCTGGCGCTCGCTCCCCGGGGGTCGGTGTGCGCTCCGCGGGGAAGGACGCGCTCGCTGCCCCGCTTCTCCCGCCCCCCTCCCGCTCCTCCTCCTCCCTTCTCCCTCCTCCTCCCCGCTCCGGCGGCGGAGGCTGCTGCGGCGGCGGGGGGTGTGCGAGCTGAGGCCGGGGCCGGCGGGCGGGCGGCGGCGGGCGGGCTGCCTGCAGGCGGAGGGCGCTGTGCTTTGTGCTTTTCGCCGCGAGGAGCAGCAGGCGCAGCCACAGCCGCCGCCACAGCAGCAGCAGCAGCAGCCGCCGCCCCAGCGCTGCCGCCGCGCCCGGAGGAGGAGCTGCTGCCGCCGCGGGAGGGAGCTGCGGCTGTGCCCGGCCGAGCGGGGGAGGGCGCCGCCGCTCAGAACCGGGGAGGGCGCCGCCGGAGCGGGAAGCCCGGAGGCCGCGCCGAGCCGGGTAACCGAAGCGGCTGGGGACGCATCCGCGGCCAGGACTGGGCGGCGGGGAGCGGACCCCGGGTGCGGTGGGCGCCCGGAGGGGTCCCGGGGCCACCTCCGGGCAGAACGCGGGGCGAGGGAGGACCGGGGCGCTGGAGAGGGCGCCGAGGACCGGGGGAGGGGAGGGAGGGCAGGAAGCGAGGCCCCCGCCGAGCCCCGGCCGCGAGCGGAGGAGGCCGCGCTCCTGCGAGCCGGCGGGCGCAGTTCTCCGCGGCCGCCGGAGGGGGCGGCGGGGCCGGGGAGCGCGGCGCCCCCGCCTCCGGGCCGCCGTCCTCCCGCCCTCTCCTTGGCTCGGCTCCCCGGAGGCCGGGGCGGGGGCGCCGGCGGGGCTGGGCCGCCGGCTCGGGGGGGAAGGCGGCGGGCGGCTCCCGCCGCGGTCGCGCCTCTGCGCCGGGCTCCTCCGTGCGCTCCGGGCGGCTGGGCGGTGGCGGCGCCGCTGGCCCGGGTGGGTGGCGCGGGGGTGGGGGCCGGCCGCTTCGTTCCGGCTGCTCGCCCGCCCGGGCGGGCAGGGACGGCGTCGGGTGCCCGCGAGGGGGGGCGGCGGGAATCCGGATCCGGTCCCCGGGGGCGGTGCGGCCGCTGCTCTCCGGGGCCGGCGGCGGCTGCGTCGCGTCCGGGTCCCCGCCGGGCTGCGGAGGCGGGGGGAACCGGCGGGGGGAGGCGGGAGGAGGAGACTGCGGCGCGCGCCCGCTGCTGCCGCGGCCGCGCGCGCCCTTTACCCGCCCTTCCTCCTCCCCGCCCGGCTGCCGGGGCCTCCCCCGCGGGCGGAGGGAGGAGGAGCTCTCCGGCCGGCGTGGGGGAGGAGGCGGGCGCTAGCTGCACGCGGGAGCGGGAGCTGGGAGCTGGAGCAGTGTCTCGCGTGGGCGGGGGAGGGCGCACGCCGCCGAGCCTGGCTGCAAGGGCCGGGGGTGGGGGTCAGGGGGGAAAGGGGGAGAGTCCCCTCGCACCCACCTACCCATTAAACCTCCTAGGGTCCTGACAGGGTGTCCGGAGACGGGGGACGCTGGCCCCCCTCCCCTCCGGGGGAGGGAGGAATAGAAACTCCCTCTGCCCGCCTGAGTAGAGGCTGCTCTCTCTTCTGAAGGGTGAGGTGGCGTTGAACCCGGATTGCCCGGCCAGCGTGACCGAGGAGGGGGTGGCTGGAGGTGGCCGGACGGCTGGAGAATGAACGGAGAAGCAGACTGCCCCACAGACCTGGAAATGGCCGCCCCCAAAGGCCAAGGTAGGAGCCCCCGTCCTTAGTCCTCTTTAACTTAAATCCCCTTTTCCACATGGCTCTCTCCACTCCCCTCCTTCAGGGCTCCTCCACGCTGCATTCTCTGCATGGAGATAAGGCCGAGGGTGTCTGGGAGGGTCACGCACCCCGCACACAGGGGGTTGGCTCAGTCCAAGGGATGAAGCCTTGTATTTTTCACACTCCATGTGCCCCCTCCCCCACACCGCCCTCTCCTGGGTCAGAGAGGAGGCCCCTGTAAGCCTTCCTTCTGGGGTTCCCAGTCAGGAATGTGTCCTGGAATGGGAGGAAGGAGGAGGAACGTGGAGGCAGGGGGAGAGGAGAGCGGTTGGGAAAGATTTTCAGGGTATTTTTTTATTACTAAGAGGAAGAGTTTTTTTGGTGAGGTACGTGGAAAGGGTGTGTGGATGGTTTGAGACCCTAAACCCAGGGAGTTATTTTTTCTAACGAGAGCTTAACCCCAACCAGGAAGGATCCAGTGTGTATGGGGGCAGGGGGACAAGACGAGGCTGAGCATCTGGGCCACGGAGAGCAGAGGGGACTACGGTTTATGTGGCCTGCCTTACAGAAACCCAGGCCCGGGTCACCAGATGTAAATGCAAATGAGGAGCCTTGGGTAGCTGCTCTCCCAGGCGCTCTCTGGGAGGCCTCGCTGCAGCTGCGTTTCAGTGACTGGCCCAGACCCCTTCTAGGCCTACAGGGGAGTCAGGCTGAGAAGACAACTCAGAGTTTTGGGGGTCTTCCCGGCGCAGGGCCCCGAGGGCCTTCGCCTGCCTTGCGTTAAAGCTTTCTTTTATGGACACGAAATGCCCATTTCCATTCAGGTTTTCTCACTTGCCCCAAATTCTCCTCAGACCCTCCTTCAGAGGTCCAGAGGTAGGGGGATGATGGGATGCCCATTCCTCTAATGTTAGTTCCCAGCTGTGCTGGAGAGAAACACTGCATTGCTTCTCCTTACTACCCACATCCCATCCTCAGTTGTTGAACTCTTAGGGTATCTGCCTAGAATTTGGACTTGAACTTGGCGGCACATTTAGCCTCTTGCTTCCCTCCCCTCTCTGATAAGCTGTTTTCCCAATGGGCCTCAATCACAGTAGCTCCATTTCCTCCTTCCCTACAATAAATAGTACCTTGTGACGCTCAGGCCTGGCTTTCTAGGTATGACACTGTCTGGACAGGCGTCCTGCTCTGATTCATATGGCCACCGTTCCTCCTAGGGCTAGGCCATGTTTGTCTGTCTCCAGAGGGGAGGGAACCAGGGACCGGGGAGGAAGAGGTGAGCATTTATGAGGGGATAGCACGAGCCAGTCCTGACCACCTTTCTTACCCCTCTCCAGACCGCTGGTCTCAGGAAGACATGCTGACTTTGCTAGAATGCATGAAGAACAACCTTCCATCCAACGACAGTTCCAAGTTCAAAACCACTGAGTCACATATGGATTGGGAAAAAGTAGCATTCAAAGACTTTTCTGGAGACATGTGCAAGCTCAAATGGGTGGAGATTTCTAACGAGGTAACTGATGACACCCGCCCTTCCCCCTTCCTGACACACAGGAGCACACATCTATACAGACCCCTGCCTTACCCTTCCTGGTGTGGGAGATGAAACAGAAATCTGTGAACAGGAAGGAAGAGACCGCGTGCATTTTGGGAGGTTTTACAGTCGACAGCACTGGCCTAGCGTTCTCCGTTCTACCAGTGTCTCTAGCTTTGTGGCCTTGAACACATACCATCTTGGAGCTCCTGTTTCCTGAGCTCTTTTGGGGGCTGAATGGGCTGCTGGCATAGACAGCCACATTGAGGTCAGGTGGCCCCTTGGCCTTCGCTGTGTCTGACTGCCTGAGCCTCTGCAGCAGGCACAAGCCAGTGCCCGGGCGTCTGCTCTGATGTCAGCAGCCACCTGAGTTGTGTGCTGTCGGCCTCTGCCCCTCCGCTTTTGCTCAGTTCAGTCTAATGGAAGGTAGAGGGAAATGGGAGTATGCTCCTGGGTGGTGCCCCCTCTTCGGAACTTCCCCTTCCACTCACCTCCCTCCTTCCTCCAGGTGAGAAAGTTCCGTACATTGACAGAACTGATCCTCGATGCTCAGGAACATGTTAAAAACCCTTACAAAGGCAAAAAGCTCAAGGTGAGTTTCCAGGAGGAGGAGGAGCACGGGGGGTCGGAGCGGAATGGCCCAAAGAAAGGACGGTGTCTGACCTTCACTGTGTCCTTGTCCCTCGTTCCAGAAACACCCCGACTTCCCAAAGAAGCCCCTGACCCCTTATTTCCGCTTCTTCATGGAGAAGCGGGCCAAGTACGCTAAGCTTCACCCTGAGATGAGCAACCTGGACCTGACCAAGATCCTGTCCAAGAAATACAAGGAACTGCCCGAGAAGAAGAAGGTGGGGGGAGGGGGGCCATGCGGCCGGGAGGGAAAGGGCTGGGAGCAGCTGGTGTTGTGCAGGTCAGCTGCTGGGGTCAGGGGGTGGGACTCAGACAAAGGGACTTGGTGTCAGGGATGTGGGTGGGTCCAGACAAAGGGACTTGGTGTCAGGGATGTGGGTGGGTCCGCAGAGCAGCGTAGGGTTTTGGGCAGCCACGCCTGACCACCCACTTCCCAGCCCACACACGGTAAATTGCAGGCACTGTCACAGGTGTAACCCAGGCTGAGCTAGGTGCTGGGACCAACCACAGTCCACAGCGTTGGTTGCTTTACACAGCTCTGCTCCCAGGCGCACATCCTCACTGTGAGGCCCGCACAGCAGTTCTTCCCCCTCTGACATGTCCCGACATGGTCTCCCTTGACGCTGGCAGTGTCCTCGTAAAGGCAACCCCGGAAGAACAGGTTACCCGATTCTGTGAGCAGGGACCGGGGTGCTGGAGGGCGTCGAGTCCCAGGTCACGGAACTAACGATGCTGGAGCAGGGCTCGCGTTTAGTCCTCTAGACTCCCTGCCTCGTGCTCTTCTCACTGCCACGTGCGTGTGTGAGGTGGGTTTCCTTCCCATGCACACGTTGGCCCACGGATACACACGGTCTCTGGTGGCCTCATGCCATGCTAGACCATTGGAGGCTGTCCACCTTGAGCAGAGGTCTCCCTCGCCTCTCGGGCAGAGAGACGGTCAAGCACAGTGAGAGCAATAGTCCCTCAGGGAGAGGCAGTGAAGCCCTGGGGGACCCTGCAGCCGGGACGGGAGTGAGATGGGGCAGGGAGAGAGGGATTCAAAGAAGAGATGCTAGACGGCCAAGATGGAGCCAGAGAGGGGATGAGGGGCATCAGAGTTGTCTACAACCAGCTCTCGGGAAGTGGCACTGGCCGTTGCCCTTTGCCCCGTGTATGCACCCTGGCTGCGGGCTCTCGTGCCCTTGGTTTTCGGCTCCACAAAGGAGCGGGTTTGGCTGGGCGAAACCAGCTGTCTTCCCCTGCTGCCTGAGGCGAGCAGGAGCCTGAATTGCTGGAGCGGTTGACCCTTTGAGGGGATATCGAAGAGCTAACTGTGCAAGCGACACCCAGTCACTCATGGGATGGGAGGAAGAGTGGGTGTGAGGACCCGGGCGGGAAGGAGGGACTGATAGAGTGGATAGTGCGCTGGCCTAGGGGACGTGAGGCTCGGACCTGTTCTGGCTCCCGCTGACCTGCTGTGTGTGCCCTTCGGTAAGTCACGTCACTTCTCCAGTCCTGGTCTCACTGGCAGGTGTGGAGGCTGCGGTGCCACCAGCTCGCAAAGCTGCTGTTGTGTGAGGCGGGCTGGGATTGGGGTCGAGCAGGCTGGGCTCTGCTCCCAGTTTTCTGTGGGAGCCCGAGGAAAGCGGGGCTTCCCGCATCTGCTGTCTCTTCGGTGAGAGGCAGGGATTGGGCTCAGACACTGAGCCCCTGGCCTCTTCCAGTGCTGCTGATTGTGAATCTAGGCAAGCAGGCGGGGGAGAGGGAGGTGAACACTGACTGGAGCCATGACCGAGGGTAGAGCAGGAAGGAAAAGACGTTGGGAAGGAAGGAGAGAGGAGTGTGGAGAAGTAGGGATGATGGTTGGGAAGGAGGACAAGGCTGATGGAATTGGGGGGGGGGGGTGAAGGAGAAAATGGGGATGCCAAGTGGCAGAGGAGCAGGCAATGGCTGAGGAGGGAAAGGGGATGGTATCCGAACTGTGAGCCAGAGGTGGCGGGTGGGGGAAATGTCCCAGTTTAAGACATCTATTAGGATGTGGCTTGCATTGCGAGAATTCACTCTGGGTTCCCTTCAACATACTCATCACCTGCCTTGGAAGCAGGGCTACCTCTGAGGGGCTAGACCAGTGTTCGGCAGACTGTGGCTCTTTGGCCCCTTGAGTTTTTAGCAAAGGCCAGCTTTAGGAGTGCCCTAATTGAGTTAATAACAATGTACCTAGCTATCTAGTTTAAGTTTAAAAAATTTGGCTCTCAAAAGGAATTTAAGTCGTTCTCCTGTTGATATTTGGCTCTGTTGACTAGTGAGTTTGCCGACCACTGGGCTAGACCAGTATCAGTTGCCACAGGCATGGGAGGGGGGCGTGATGGAGGCGTGTCCTACAGCTCCTGACAGCTCATTGGGGGAGTTTGGGAGAGGTAGGGGGGTAGGTTTGGGGGGAGTCCCAGCCCTGTCACTGTTGACTGTGTGCCTGGGTGTCATAAACAAAAGGAAGAAGGGTGTGTTCTGGGAGACCCCTGTAACCTCTCACTAATCTGGGGTCTGCCCCCACCCGCCACCCCCCGACCGGAAGGCAGGCCACACCCTCTGCCCGCTCATGCCATCTTCCATTCACCCACGTCACAAGCTGGGAGGCAAAACAGCTAGCAAGGAGGACTCTGGCTTTGGTAGCTCAGGCCTTGGGTTGTGGATGACCCCGTCCCCTCCTCCCCCCAGATGAAGTATATTCAGGACTTCCAGAGGGAGAAACAGGAGTTCGAGCGAAACCTGGCCCGATTCAGGTAAGGCAGTGGAGCCCAGAGAAGGGCCACAGGGCACCGGGTGCGACAGGACAGGGTGACACTGACCAGAGCCTCAAGCTTGCCATCCGTGAGGCATGGGAGATGATGGGTCACGTGCAGACCCTAGTGGGTCCTGCTCACAGGCAGGGACAGGCAGGCCGCCGCTGTCCCACCAGTCCCCCATCGGCAGTCCTAGGAGCCTCGGCGGGCGGGGCAGCTAGCGGGGTCAGCCCTGGCAGGGTCTCCCTCCACATGGCTGATTGTTGCTCCCCGTGCCCCGGCTAGGGAGGATCACCCTGACTTAATCCAGAATGCCAAGAAGTCGGACATCCCCGAGAAGCCCAAAACCCCCCAGCAGCTGTGGTACACCCATGAGAAGAAAGTGTATCTCAAGGTTCGGCCAGATGTGAGTGTCCGGCCGAGGGGTGGGGGCAGAGGGCACGTGGCGGTGGCAAGGGGGGGAGCCGCGCCAGGTCGGCCGGGCATGGAGCAGGAGAGGAGGCCCCGCCCCAGGGGTGGGCTGCATGGACAGGGCCTGGGCCAGCTGGCGTGCAAGCGTGTGCGTGCGCGTGTGAGTGAGCCTGTCCCCTTGCACCCAGGCGGGACCCCCCCGCCTCTCCGCCTTCTCCTCCTGGCCTGTGGGGGACACTCCTGTGACCTCCTGTGGCCCGAGGGGGCGGGGCCTCTGTGCCCCCCACCCCCCTCCCTTCCCCCCGCCCCTGGCTGCCTGCGTGTGTCTGACGGCTTTTGGTTTGCAGGCCACTACGAAGGAGGTGAAGGACTCCCTGGGGAAGCAGTGGTCTCAGCTCTCGGACAAAAAGAGGCTGAAATGGATTCATAAGGCCCTGGAGCAGCGGAAGGAGTACGAGGTTAGGCTTCCGCTGCGCTCCTCCCCATCCGGCTCTTCATGAGCCTCTGCCCTCGACTCGGTGGCCCCCGCACTCCGCGGGAGGCGGTCACTCCCGTCCCTCCGTTGAGGGAGGGGCCTTCTGGCCCCTCACCTCTGCCCCTACCTTCCCCACACCCCCCTCCCCATGAGATCTCAGGCTAGGGCAGGGCAGGGCACCATTTGTGTGGCACAGCACACACACACACACACACACACACACACACACACGGCCACCCCCCAGCTTTGCTCCCTGCCCCCCCTTCCCAGCGGCTCTCCCCCCCTCCTTCCTGGCTCCCCCGCTAACCCCACACCCCGTCGCCCTCCGTCCTCCCACCTCGCTCTGCAGGAGATTATGCGTGACTATATCCAGAAGCACCCTGAGCTGAACATCAGTGAGGAGGGCATCACCAAGTCCACCCTCACCAAGGCTGAGCGCCAGCTCAAGGACAAATTCGATGGGCGACCTACCAAGCCGCCTCCGTGAGCACTGCCCCGGGGTGGGGGGGCGAGCGGGCACCTGGGCAGACAGAGGGCTGCCTGGTGAAGGCGCGCCCCGTGGCTCACAGGGATGCTCCTCCCTCACTTTGGTCCTGGCAGGAACAGCTACTCGCTGTACTGCGCGGAGCTGATGGCCAACATGAAGGACGTGCCCAGCACGGAGCGCATGGTGCTATGCAGCCAGCAGTGGAAGCTGCTCTCGCAGAAGGAGAAGGATGCCTACCACAAGAAGTGCGACCAGGTGAGCTGCGGCCGGAGCGCCCTGCAGAGGGAGGGTTGCCGGAGATCCTTGAGAGCCTTGAAGCATGAGGTCTGACCCCTTGGGCACCTGCTTCAGAGTTGGTGTGCTGGGTTTAGCACCTGGACAGACCAACAGATAACGTTGGGCCTTACGCTTAGACCTACGGAAGGTTCCCACCCAGTGAGCCTGCCCCACCCAGACTGACCCTGGCTCCCCTTCCTTCCCCAGAAAAAGAAAGATTACGAGGTGGAACTGCTCCGTTTCCTGGAGGTGAGTGGGTGAGGCAGGGTGCGAGACCCGCTGGACCATTTGGGAGTGAGCTGGGGACTGGGCACACAACCCCATGCTGCCTCTTCTCCCCGCACCAGAGCCTGCCGGAGGAGGAGCAGCAGCGGGTGCTGGGGGAAGAGAAGATGCTGAGCATCAACAAGAAGCAAACCACCAGCCCGGCCTCCAAGAAGCCCTCCCAGGAAGGGGGCAAGGTGGGCAGGGAGCACCACCGAGCTGGGGGGAGCGGGGAAGGCAGGCTCCCTGCCAACACTCCATTGACGGACCCTCTTTGCGCACATACAGGGCAGCTCCGAGAAGCCCAAGAGGCCGGTGTCAGCCATGTTCATCTTCTCCGAGGAGAAGCGGCGGCAGCTGCAGGAGGAGCGGCCGGAGCTCTCGGAGAGCGAGCTGACCCGCCTGCTGGCCCGCATGTGGAACGACTTATCGGAGAAGAAGAAGGTCAGGCCGGCCAGACCAGAGGGGCTGCCAGGCATCTGGATGTGGGCCGCTTCTCCTCTGGGGCCTGGCCGCACTGCCTCGCCCCTGCCCTGTGCCAGCCACACTTGTGCCCGGGCTCAGATGCCAGGGCTGGGCGCCCAGCGAGAGCCGGAAGGCGGGAAGCCGTCAGCTGAGGGCTGTTGGCTCCCTGGGGAGCAGCGTGGTGGGCGGGGCTGAGCCCGGGGCTGGAGACTCTGCACTGGCCCAGCCGCTGCTGGTCCCGCCCTGGCTGCGGTGGGAACCTTCCAACAGCTGGATGGGGAACGAGCGCCCTCTGGGGGTGGCTGAGAGGCTGACGCCTGGTGCCATCCCTCTGCAGGCCAAATACAAGGCCCGGGAAGCAGCGCTGAAGGCCCAGTCGGAGAGGAAGCCGGCTGGGGAGCGCGAGGAGAGGGGCAAACTGCCCGAGTCACCCAAGAGAGCCGAGGAGATCTGGCAGCAGAGCGTCATCGGTGACTACCTGGCCCGCTTCAAGGTAGGAAAGGGGCGCAAAAGGGTGGTTCTGCAGCCTGCCCACTCAGGCCTCCCCCCCACTCCCGGGGGACCCCTCCCACCGCTGACACCCCTGTCTGTCCCCAGAATGACCGGGTGAAGGCCTTGAAAGCCATGGAGATGACCTGGAACAACATGGAGAAGAAGGAGAAGCTGATGTGGATTAAGAAGGCAGCCGAAGACCAGAAGCGCTATGAGGTGGGAAGGGGCTGCTGGTTAGAGTTGTGCCATGAGGTGGGATGGAGCTGGGGCCACCACCCTCCGCTTAAAATGTGGGGGCCCCCTTTCTGGCGTGCAGCTTTCTTCACTGCTTGGGGCTCCGTGCCCCAAATCCCAGCCTTGGTTGTGTGACCCAGAACAAGTCTCTCATCTTCCTTCTCTGAGCCTCAGTCACACGTCAGTTAAACGGAGCTGACAGTGGAAGTCACACGAGTGCAATTATGGCAGCACGTTCAAACCACAGTGCCCACCGCAGCTGTGAATTATTGGGAAGTTGCTCCCTGGCTGTGCCTGTTTCTCCTCCTCCCTGGCACACAAAAGGAGTCAGCGGAGACACTCGTGGCATGGGACAAGAGATAGAAATATGTTAGGGGGAGGGGGGGTTGGGGATGGGATGCCTGTAACCTTTCTGCGTATCCGCACAGAGAGAGCTGAGTGAGATGAGGGCACCCCCGGCTGCTGCAAACTCATCCAAGAAGATGAAGTTCCAGGGAGAACCCAAGAAACCTCCCATGTGAGTCTGGAGCCCCCCCTGGAGGCCAGGAGGGTCAGAGCTATGGGATGGGATGCTGACCCTCCCCGCACCACGCCCGCTTCTCAGGAACGGTTACCAGAAGTTCTCCCAGGAGCTGCTGTCCAACGGGGAGCTGAACCACCTGCCCCTGAAGGAGCGCATGGTGGAGATCGGCAGCCGCTGGCAGCGCATCTCCCAGGGCCAGAAGGAGCACTACAAGAAGCTGGCCGAGGAGCAGCAGAAGCAGTACAAAGTGCACCTGGACCTCTGGGTCAAGGTGAGAGGGCGGGGGACCCTGGGAAGAGGGAGGCATCACGCTGGCTGGTCTGCATTCATGATTTTATCTGGTGTCCCACAAGGTAATGATTACTATCAATGATAAGAAAACCAGTGTTCAGAGAGGTTAGGTAACTTACCCAAGACCACACAGCTAGCTAGGAAGAAAAATCCAAGTCAGACTGTCTTTTCCTTCCTGTTTGGAACCAGGGGGCCTCTCCTAGAGCCTGGCGTGGCCCCTCTTGGTGCCTTGGTTCAGCAGTCAGGTCTGGAAAGTGTGCGTCACTCAGGTCCTCCCCGGTCACTCAGGCAGGCTGGCCAGGGACCCAGGGAAATAGCAGGGTCTGGGTATTCAGGAAGTTTGGTGAGCCCCAGGTGTGGTTTTGGGGTGTGAGTGGGGTGCCAGGCTCTGGGGGAAGGGAGTTACCATGGGGAACTTCTGAATTGAGGAAGGCCCCGACTCTGGAGCTTTCGTTTGAAGGGACATGAAAAACAACAGTCTTAGGACAGGGTGTCTCGAAAAGGACTCGGGGCATCGTAAGCAGAAATCCTGGAACGTGGTTCTCTGATCCCAGGGGTTCTCTGCAGAGACCCCTAGGTTAGGGAGGCCGGGAGGAGGAATGGTGGTTCATAGTAAGTGCTTGGCCCCACACGGTGGGGCACCAACGCTTACCTCCTCCTCCTCTGTCTCTCCCAGAGTCTGTCTCCCCAAGACCGGGCTGCATACAAAGAGTACATCTCCAACGTAAGTCCAGGAGCAGGGTGGCACCAGGGTCAGGAGAGATCGGGGGTGTCTGGGGCTCACGGCCACTCCCTTTGTATCTCCGTTCTCTCCTACAGAAACGTAAGAGCATGACCAAGCTGCGAGGCCCGAACCCCAAGTCCAGCCGGACTACACTACAGTCCAAATCCGTAAGGAGTCCCTCTGGCGGGGGGCGGGGGGGCTCAGCACCTGGAGTGCTGAGGCAGAGACCACTGACGCCGCTCTGTCCCTCTTAGGAGTCTGAGGAGGACGAGGATGAAGATGAGGACGAGGAGGACGAGGATGACGAGGAAGATGATGATGAGAATGGGGACTCCTCTGAGGATGGCGGGGACTCCTCTGAGTCCAGCAGCGAGGACGAGAGCGAGGACGGGGATGAGGTGGGGTGGACGGACGTGGTGGGGAGGGGGGCGGGGGCCCTGCCAGGAGGGCCACCTGCTGATGGTGTGCTTCTTGCCCCCAGAACGAGGAGGACGATGAGGATGAGGATGATGATGAGGACGACGACGAGGATGAAGACAACGAGTCTGAGGGTAGCAGCTCCAGCTCTTCCTCCTCAGGGGACTCTTCGGACTCTGACTCCAACTGAGGCTCAGCCCCAACCTGGGGCGCCCCTCTCCGACTGACCGCCTCTGTTTCCCCCCCTTGTTCTGTCCCCTGCCCCTGGCCTCCCCCACTCTCTTTCTTTCTTTCTTTTTTAAACAAAATATGGTGGGGGAAGGGGCTGGAGGAGCCCAGGCCAGGACTCTGCAGCCTCAGAGACATCAGCCCTGGGGGCTCTCCAGGGAGGGCAACCATCAGACTGAGCCACCACTGGACTGGACCGGCCCACCACTCTTCTGCACTTGCGGTTCCGGCATGGACAATGGACCTGGGAGTGGGGGGGGCGGGGGGGTCCCCCAAAGAGTTCAGTGAGGACCTCTATACCTGCAGCCCAACTTAAGGAGGGGGGGATGGAAGCTTGGGAAGGACCCCTCCCTTCCCAGAGGGGCTTGCTGCCTGGACCCTTTACGTTGGAACTAGAGGCAGGGAATGTGAGAGGAGGGCAGGTGCCTGTGAGAACACAGGCCCTGCCTCATTGCTCTCTCCCCTGCCCCCTGCAGGAAGGAGTTACCTGGACCCACTCTTGGGGAGGGGGGGGGGCAGAGGTGTTTTTTATATATGTGTATATATTTTTTTTTAAGCTCTGAGCTGTCAACGAGACGTTTCCTACCGATCTCGGCTGCCGTCTCTGTTGTCATTTCTCCGGGAGGGAGGGTTTAGGGGGGTAAGTTTGGGAATTTTTAAAACTTGATACGAATGGAAAAGTGAGTGAGTGTGTGTGTGTGTGTGTGTGTGTGTGTGTGTGTCCTGTACATAGCATGGGTGTACCTGTGGATGTGTGCAAAGGCACGTGTCTGTGTGTGTGTGTGTGTGTGTGTGTGTGTGTGTAAGGGGGGGGGGGCCCACATCAGTCCATGAATCTGGTAAAAGGGTTGACAAAGGCCAGGGTGACGTTGATCCTGGTGGGGACAGGCTGGGGCGGCCTCTTTCTCTACACCCTCTGCTTTGCCTAATCTCTGATTCAGTTAAAGCGGGCGTACTGAAGCCACTCTCTGATGCTTCCTAGCAGCTTCCCTCTGCCAGGGCCATAGGACTCTGAGCTGCTACTGGTCTCCAGCAGGATGGCAGGGAGGGAGGCAGACCAGCTGAAAATTAAAGCTTGTCTTTGGTGGGAAGAGCCTCAAGCCCATCCCAGGCGCAGGACCTGGGCTTCAAGAGGTGTGTTGCAAGCTCTTATCCCTCCTGCCTTCATATCCTCCAGCTCCCCTGCCCCCATTTCCTTTGATTTCTCAGGTCTGCTCCATTCCTGTCCCCCCACCCCGGCCCAAACCCACAGCTGGGGAAGAGGTCTATAAAAGCTGCTTTTGCAGCTGTCCCTCTAACCCTTCCCAGCTATCCTCAAAATTTTGGAACCCTGATTCCTAGATCCTTAATAAGCCAAGCCACCTTGTCTCAGTGGGTTTAATTTTTTTTTTTAATTAAATTTTGGCCTTTTTTTTTTTTTTTTTTTTTTTGCAATCATATCAGTGAGCTATTTAATTGGGTCTCTGTGCTTTTCAACTCCCCCCCCCCCCCAATGGAAGCCAAGAAATGGGGGGAGAGTGGGAACTCCACCTCGGAGGTGAGATAGGAAACGTGGATCCTGCTCCCAAAGGAAGACAGTCTTCGCCTTGGACGTGGTGCTGGGGTCGGGGGAGCTGAGGGAGGGATACTCCCCACTCCCACGCCCCTTCCTTTGTCCCTATCCTGGAGTTAGGCACAGGGCCTCACAGGTTCTATTTCTTACCAAGAGCCCCTGCAGAGAACCCCAGTCCCTGTGTGAGTGCCCCTGTGCTGTTGTGTTTTAGTGGAATGTGTTTTCATTTAAAAACAACTTTGAATGGGGCGCTTTTTATTTCCTGTTTTCAAAAATTGAAAAATTCTTACAGTACAAACAGGGCTGTGGGGGTGGGGGTGTTGGTGCTGTAAGAGGTCACTCTGAGTGCATTTTGGCACTGGGCTGGGATGGCTGGGGCGGGAGGACCCCCACATCCCCCCTCCCCTTTTTTTCTAATATTTAAGGAGTGTTTTTGTAGGTTTCAACAACAACCACAACTTGAATTTGTATCATGGGAGGGGGAGGGAGTGGCTTAGAGGTGTCTGCCTAAGCTAAAGGCCAACTGTGGAAGTTTTGTTTTCCCTTTTTTTGTACAATAAAGTGGAAAGAAAAAAAAAAAAAAAGGTTTGCCTGCCGTGTGATCACTGGAATCCATGAGTGGGAGGCAGGGTCCAATGCGGGAAGACCCTTGAAGCCAACTTGTTTGTTTGCCCCTTTTTCTAGAACCATCTTCCTCTTTCCTGAAAATTCCATAGGCAACCTACCTTCACCTTGTTTTGTGCTGCTGGTTCTTATACTTTCTCATTTCAGTTGGTTCACCTTGGGTGGTCAGACCACTAAGGACTGAGAAGAAAAGAAGTGACATTATTTCCTCCCAGAGTGCACTGCCTTGGGGAAACGGGGGGTCAGGGTTTCACCCCGGTCACCTAAGGGCTTATCGCTGGGAGTTGGGGCAACCTTGCCACCTGGAGTCCTCGGCCTCACCCAAGGTTAGGAGTCACTTTGCTAACCCCACCCAGACCTCTGATGGGAAGTGGGCTGGGCCTTGATGACTCGCTCTCTGCTGTTCAGGAAGGCGGCCTTCCCTGCACAGGCCTTGTCAGGGTTCCCGGAATCACCGAGGCCTGAAAACCAGGCCCTGTCCAAGAACTCTTGTCTCATCCCCACACCCGTCTTACTCTTGGCAAAGCTGAAAAGCTCATTGCCCCTCGTGGTCTCCTATGTCCTCGCCTCCCACTCAGCACTCCCCCGGAGTCACTAATAGTTTGTTACCTCCGGCGGGTACTTGTCTATCTCCTGACTTGGTCTACTCTGCTGGTATCAGTTCTCCTCATTCTATCCCCATGTCACTCAATGAACCTCCAAATATCACCCATAGGTAAGCATTCCAAAAAGCAGTATCTACAGAAAACATTCTCCCACGCTACAGACCTGTACAGACTTATTCGTATCCTCTGGGATATCTGGGGAAGTGGGGGTCCTCAAGATAACCCCATCTCATACCTCAAGACGCAAAATGATCAACCATCTAGTTATTCAATCTAGAAACCACGGTCCTAGCCTTGATTCCTCTTTCCCTTTCATTTTCGCATTTATTCCTTTTGCCCAGACCTGCCCATTCTACTTCTGTATCTCTGAAATCTATTTACCCTTCTCCACTGCTGCCATACTATATTATTCAAGACCACACCAGTGCTCAACTTCTGCCAAGACCTTCTCAAGTTGGTTTTCCTGCTTGCATTCTTCCCCTCTACAGTCCATTCTGCACACAGCAACCCAAGTTGTCTTTTAAAAACACCTGGCCTAGCTGGTGTGGCTCAGTGGTTGAGCATCGATCTATGAACCAGGAGGTCACAGTTGGATTCCTGGTCAGGGCACATGCCTAGGTTGCTAGCTCAGTCCCCAGTAGGAGGCATGCAGTAGGCAGCCGATCAATGATTATCTCTTATCATTGATGTTTCTATCTTCCTCTCTGAAACCAATAAAAATATATTTTTAAAATATATTTTATTGATTTTGTACAGAGAGGAAGGGAGAGAGATAGAAAGCTAGAAACATCGATGAGAGTCATCGATCAGCTGCCTATTGCACACCCCCTACTGGGGATATGCCCGCAACCAAGGTACATGCCCTTGATCGGAATCGAACCCGGGTCCCTTCAGTCCCCAAGCTGACGCTCTAGCCATTGAGCCAAACCGGTCTTGGCAATAAAAATATTTTTAAATCTGATCCTAGATGTTGGCTAGAACGTCTGTCCTCAGACTGAAGGGTTCAAAGGTTCGATTCCAGTCAAGGGCATGTACCTCGGTTGCAGGCTCAATCCCAGGCCCTGGGAAGATATATATCTTCTGGTGAGGATTAACCAAACAAATATATATATATATAGATAGATAGATATAGATATAGATATCTGATTATTTCTGTACTTAATAATTTACCATGACCATACAAGGTCTGGGCCTGCTTTCCTTCTTTCACCCTCCTCCTAACCACTTGCAATTATCCAGCCAAGTAATCTCTTTTGTTCCTCAAATATGCCTACCATAGGGCCTTTGCATTTGTTCTCTGCCCAAACTGCTAAGCCTCCAACTCTACAAATAGCTAGTTTTCTCATTTTTCAGGCCTCAGCTCAAATGTCACCTCACAAACAAGTCTTCCCTGACCACCCTCTCTAGAGAGGCCTTGTCCTACAGCTCCTTGTTTATGTATTTGTTTATTTTCTATCTCCTTTTTATCTGCTTGTTCATTACAGTAGTCCATACCATTGCTCAACTTCTGCCAAGTAAAATTGCCTCGCACACATGTGACACTTAGGAAAGATTTGTTGAATCCGTGAATAAGTATGGCTTACATGGCCTGGGGGAGCTGCTGTCCCTGCTGGCCTCTCTGCCCCGATTCAGCCACACCAGCCATCCATACCACTCTCTTCCCGGGCCTGTACACATTCTGCCTATCCACATAACAGTTCCCTCTGCATCTTTCCACCGAGGTTAACTCAGGGCTCCATTTATTGTATTTTTTAAACAAGCACAAAATTTATGCACTTGGAGGGTCCCTCTGCCCGGCCTGCACAGTCTGGGAGCCCTCACAGTCCGGAAGCTCTTCAGGGATGTCTGACTGGTGGTGCGGGGAGCGGCCTAAGTCAGTTGGACATCCTCAGAGCTGCTGCGGAAGTGGGAAAGGTTCCTGCCATCGCTGCTGCACTAGCAGCCGTGAGCCGGCTTTTGGTTGAGTAGTACTTCCCTTGTGAGAACGCACTGACCACCAGGGGGCAGCTCCTGCATTGAGCATCTGCTCCCTGGTGGTCAGTGTGCATCATAGCAACCGGTCATTCAGCCTCTGGTCGATCTGCATATTAGCCTTTTATTATATAGAATTATTTTTAAAAAATATTTAAAAAATTGATTTTAGAAAGGGAGAGGGAGAGATATAGAAACATCAACAAGCCT